ATTTATTTATTTGACAGAGAGAGACACAGCGAGAGAGGGAACACAAGCAGGGGGAGTGGGAGAGGGAGAAGCAGGCTCCCCGCAGAGTAGGGAGCCCGATGCGGGACTCGATCCCAGGACCCCAGGACCATGACTTGAGCCGAAGGCAGTCGCTTAACCAACTGAGCCACCCAGGCGCCCTGGAATACTGCCTTTTCAGTAAATCTTTCTCCCAACTCCTCAGACAGATTTACAGCTTCTTTCCTCCCTGTTCTTTTTATATATTGTCCATCTTTGTTACAGCAATTTTCACATTGCACCATAATAATTTCAATGCCTGTTTTTCCCTGTTAGCTAATCAGATGGATGGGTGGGTAGTTTAAAAAATGAGTGCTATATAGATGAATACCTTAGGATACTGTTTTTGTTTGTTTAAATTAGATGGCTCAGTACTTTAATCCTGTCCATCCCAAACTGTTATTACCACTGCTGGTTGCAGTCCAGAAACTCAGGCAGGAGTTAGGTTCAATATAGCCGCTCACTGTATTTTCAGACCAGTTCCTTTGACTTGAAAAAAGAATTTTTTGTTGACATAGTTAGATTCATTGGAAGTTGCAAAAAGAGTACAGAAGTGTTTTGTGTATCTTTTATTAGTTTTCCACAGCTCTTCTGACTTTGTGTCTTATCTCTTGTTTCTCCTTCTACCCCCTGCATAATTAGCAAATTTATTAAGGAGCAGAAGATACGATTTTTTTTGTATATTCCTTTGGTGATAGCATTAGTGCACTGAAGAAAACTGCATTCCTAAAGTGAACACATGTGTTCTATTTGTACTTTTTCACTTCTGCTTTATCTTACAAGAAGCAATTCCTTTTGTAATGAGAAAATGTGTGCTTGTTTAATGTTATTTAAGTTTGGAGTATGATTCCACTTACATTTTGTATGCTGAAAGATTCCAAGAATAGTCGAGACTGTGGACTGTATTTAGGTGAATACCAGATTCTTATTATAAATTTGTTCTTGGAGTGAGTAGTGAAGAACCTCGTTAAATGAAATTATGGTACTTCCAGTACTTTATTGTTTAGCTTCTTGGGAGCATGTCCAAGGCCATCCTGCCTTATATCAAATTCTTTATTAAAGCAAGAAGAGGGATTATAAGGCTCTAGTTGCCTGAACTAAAAAAATCATTTGGATGTCTGTTGTGGCGTGGCACTGTTTTCCCAATTTATTGGTTTTTTTTCTTCTTTTTTTTACATAGATAATCAACCAAAAGGAGCTTTGAAGAAGCTGATTCATGCTGCTAAGGTTTGCATTACTACATAAATATAAAGAATATAGAGAAGGAAATAGAACTTGGATTAAACCTGTAGGTCCTTAGTAATTATTTTAAAAGTCCGTTTTATAGTTGCCACCATAGAAGCGATGCAGATTTTCAGAAGTGATCAGCATTTTCTTTATCAGTTGCTTTTTTCTTTTTTATAATAACTTTAGAAATTCATATTGTTAATTTTTAGAATTTATCAGAATACAAATTTTTAAGGTCTGGACTAATGTTTTTGGATAAGGAATATATTAAAAATATTTAGTGTATTTTCTCTCATATTTCTGACTTTGAACATTCTTCTTCCTCTGGTCTCAGTATTTTCCTATTCCTGTTGCCCCATATCCTAAATTGAGAAGTAAATGCTGGGTTCAATTTCTTCTACTTTATCCCTTCTCTTTTCCATTGTAGTAGTGGTTATCTTGATCTTTACTGAACTATGTGAAGTCTTGGTAATGTACTTTGAAGCTTGCTTTGATTAAAACTTCTGTGTTGAAAGTAAATAGAATGAAAATACCCACTCTTTAAGGATCAGTCATTGATCTTCTCTCTCTGTTCTGATATTTACAACTACTGATGACTTAACTTTTCAAGATGGAAGCTGCATTGTTGATTAATGCATTCTAGGTGATAATTTCATCAGAGTGA